TAATTTAAATTTAAATAGCCACAAGCTAGTAGCTATGATTATTGGACAGTGTCAGGCTAGAGAAATCCTCAGACAAATTTAGGAAATTGGGTTTTGGATCACACCGCTTGTATTAGGCTTTACCAGGTAGCACTGTAATCTGACTTCCCAAGGATCCTAGCTTAATTGCAAAGAGTAATTTCCATTCTTTGTTTGAGGATTTATGTTGTAATTTTACAACCTTTATAAATTCAGCAGCATCTGGACATTATAATTTTCTATCTTTATAAGCTTTCATATTCTAATTGGAACCATGTAAGTACATGGTTTCCTTAACGTATTGCACAAATTTTCCAGTCGTGGAAATATAAATCAGTAAATATCTATCTTTTCCTTTTTCTTTATTTTCTTCCTCCCTTCCTCCCTCCTTTCCTTCCTTCCTTCTTTCCTCTCTGTCCCCCCCTCCATGGACTTCCTTCTTCCCTTCTTTCTCTCTCTCTTTTTTTAACATAAATTTCTAGCCCACATCAGTAGGATGGCTCCAGCTCTCTCCTACATTCCCCCATCTACATTAGCTTCCAAGCAAACTGACCTTTGCCTGAATCTCATGCCTCCAGGACCAGCAACACCTCCTCCCCCTGGTCTTTCTCCTTGGTCCAGGCACGGAAACAACCCTGTGTACTCCTATGGGGCAGGAGTGCCTCGTTTATTGCTCTCTGGCCCAATCATTGTGTGGCTTAGATGCAACTTGGTGACAGCAAGGGTGTCTTAAACCTTATGTTTTGAGTGTTTCAATTAATACTTCCTTCATCCAACTCCCCACAATAAGGAGGAGTCATGATTAATCTGCAGCTCCCACAAACAAGCAAATTAACTAGCTTGCAGTAGACTGATTTTATATAGTATATTACTTCCATGAGATTCAGTGGATTAATGTGATACCACCCCATTTGACGGGAAAGGGTCTGATACTAAAAAGCTGGGGTACCAGACTCAAGGACCATTCCATCAGTCATAGGGATCATTCTCAATCTTGGATTAAATGGGTAAACTTGCAGACCTATTAAAACATTGTTACCCTTTTCAAAGCCTTTCAACTGCCATACCTGGCGGGCTTAGTGAATGATTATTCATATGGTCTGATTCTGAGAGCTTTCTCTTTTGCTTCCAAAATCCACTGAATTCAAATAGAATAAGAAATATTTAATACGGTATTTTGTGTTGTGCAGTATTGCTAAACCATGCCAATTGCCTGAGAGTGGGATGGGATGACAGAGCCAAAGCTTTTCTCTGCCAGGGTAAAGCTTACTTCCCCCACTTCTCTAGTTGAATTGATTAGCAACCATCTCTTTTTTTAAGACACCAAACAAATGAGTTATTTTTCAAACAAAATCTTACAACTAAATACCATCCAACTAATGTAGTGTTAAATCTTATAAGTCACATTATTTCCCAGTTGTGATAGATACTGGGTGGCTCATAACAACTTATCCTTCCTTGGGCCCAGCCTGAGATATACAGGGGGCTCTTTGTACTAAGATGAATGTAGCTGCAGGACTCTAGCTATATACAATTTCCCGTTAGTCACCACTGGTCTGGAGTCACTGCCCATGGCATCCTGGTCAAGTCTGTCTTCCATGCCCCATTCTGTCTCTCCGTACAGGGGGCTGCCCTATGAGTGGTAGGGCACACCATTTCCTAATGATTGGCCCTGTCCTTTGTTATGTGGATGGCAAAATATGGTCCTGGATCAGAGGCTGTAGTTGAGAAATGCCATATTAGCACACAGTAGAGGTCTGCAGTGGCTTTGATGGTGGCTCCTTGGTTATTTGCCTAAGAATGCAAGCTCAAATCCAGGCGAGGCTAAGGCCCTCCATGTCAGAGTCCACTGAGTTCCTCAGATTACAGAAGGAGGTTCAATAGAGTCTATTCAGTAAGTGTTCCAGGCTTTTTGCCTTTTGGAATGTCCCAGGACATTTTTGTAAGAAAAACTCAGCTCCCACGTCTTGACTGGTAGCTCCAGGGACAATTACATGCTCCAAAATTGTGGGCTCTTGCCAACCTTGGTCTCATCTCAGGTACATGATGCTCCCATGTGCCTCAGCCAAAACGTCCATCCATGGAATATTAATTTACTTCATTGTCAAAATAGTTTTTTCTCCCCCTAATCCTTTTGGTAGGTGTCTTTCTGTGTAATGGTTTCCTAGGGCTGCCATAACAAATTGCCATAAATTTAATGCTTAAAACAAGAGATTTATTCACTTCCAGTTCTGGAGGGCAGAAGTACAAGTCAGTGTTGGTAGGGCCACCCACCATTGGAAGGTTTTTGTTTGTTTTTTTTTGTTTTTTACTATTTTATTTATTTGAGACAGAGTCCAAACAAGAGGCCACAAGCAGGGGGAGCAGCAGAGGGAGAAGCAGGCTCCTCATTGAGCAGGAAGCCCAATTCAGGGGCTCAATCCAAGGACCCTGAGATCATGACCTGAGCCAAAGGCAGATGCTTAACCGACTGAGCCACTCAGGCACTTCTGCATTGAAAGTTCAGGAGAATCCATTCCATGCTGCTCTCCTAGCTTCTGAGGCTGCTGGTGATCCTCTGTATTACTGGTCTCGTGGCTACTCTCTGATCTCTGTCTCAATCTGTGTATCACCTTTTTCTGTGTCTCGGTTTTCTCCATTACATGGGCACCATTCATTGGATTTAGGACCCATTTTAAACTAGGATGATCTCATCTCATTGTCCTTAACAGAATTACATCTGATAAGACGCTACTACCGTAATTATATCTGATAAGATACATTCACAGGTATCAGGGGTTAGAATTTGGACATATCTTTTTTTGGGAACACTATTCAACTCACTAAAAATATGAGATAAAAAGATAGTGGTTTGGTTTAATAGTATGCCTGATTTTTATAAAAAGGCATCCTCAGGCCTCTTGGTTATAGCATACCATTCCAGGATCTTCTATCCATTTGGTGATTTTGATTTCTGGAGTCAATTCAGATTCTTATTTCCTGTTGCCCCAAATTTACAGCTCTCTTAATCACCAGTGACACAGAGCTCTGTCATTGTGTGGAATGGCCTTACCCCTTCCGTAGACAGGATGTCTATGACAAAAGGTGGAAGGTAGTGCCTGTCCACTGGGGCTTATTCCCTGTTAAATGCACGGTTCTGCTTGTGTTGCACATTGTTACTTTTGATTCAAGGGTTAAGTCCCTGGAGGATGCCCCAGTTTGTCTGGGCAGCTGAAGGTGAGGTTCAGGGCCAGGGATGCTTCTTGTACAATTAACTCATATAGCCATACCTCATGTTTTCTTAGGACCCTCCCCCCCCCCCCCCCGCCGCCGCCATTTAATAATCAAAGACTGTTAGTCTGTTTTGCTATGTGAGACAGAGCATTCCAATTTGCAAAACAACCCTGCAACCTCTGGTGAAATCTCACCACTAGCTTTTGTGGTAAGCTAGCTATCAATTTTTTTTTCAAAAACAGGATAATTCTCAAAGGCTGGAAGCATTGCCCTAATCTAAAACCCAGAATACTTCTGCTGTATTTTTCCTGCTAGGATCTGCCCCCTTCCCTTCTTCCCCTCCCCACCAAATCATCTGTGAGAGAGGCAGAAATCACAGAGATCTCAAGGCATATCTTTCTTTCTGATGTATAGGGCACAAGAGGTAGAGCTGACCAGAATGTGATTTGTAACCTGGCCAAGGCCAGTCACTGAGGTTCCTCTGAACCCTATGCAAAGTATGTGGCCTTCTGGATAATCCAAGAGATGGAATGTGTAAGAATCCCAGGGTGGAGCATATGCCAACTCTAAAACCCAAACACCCCCCATTTGCAGCTATTCTTTGTTGGTGGGAGGTATTACATATGCTTCACTACCTGTCACAGGCTTAAGTACCACTACTTCTTAACCCCTGTCTGCTGGATTCATGTCACTGGTCCCCAGAACTGATGGCCCATACTCATCCCCTCAGGTGTGCTGTTAAGAACTGCAGTGGTACTGCCACTTTTGTTTCAGAGGATCTTTGCAACATCATATAGTGGGGCACCTGACCACTGAGAAAAGAAGGAAGAAAACAAGGTTACAAATTATACCACCTAAGGCACTGTAACCTGGTCTATTCTCTCAGAGGTTTCCTTTACCCTCCTCTCATTGAAAGTAAAGGGAACAGAGACAGAGGGCCATCCGTGAGCATATCTTTTGTTAGGCAGACATATTCCACAGATTTAACCCTGTTGAAAGGTGTAGTGGATTTTTTTTTTTTTAAATAAAGCCAACCTTTCCTCATAGTATGTGAAATTCTAGGAAGAGGATGGGCCAGTGTATAAAAGGAAACCTTGACAAGTAGAGTGGGCAATACCTTTGTTTTAGTTTTTTAAAGGGTGTGTTGGCTCCATCACCATAGCATTCCACTATTTTTTGCAAGATTCATTATACTTGGGCAAATGTTAATTTGTTTATGAGCTACCAGGAGTCTTCAAGCTCTATTAATTTTTCCTACGGAGAACTTCATACTTCCACAGAATTACCTGGTGATGTCATTGAGGGGGCAACCTATGTAAAGGGATACTATGATAATGATGGTGATTAATTAATAGATATATTAGTTTCCCATAGTTATCAAAGTAAATTACCACAAACTATGGCTTAAAACAACAGAAACTTATTCTCTCAGAGTTCTGGAGGCTGGAAGTCTGAAATCAAGGTGTTCCTGGGCCATGCTCCCTCTAAAGCTTCTAGGGAAGAACCTTTCCATGCCTCTTTCAGCTTCTGGTGCTTCAGGCATTCCTTGGCTTCTGGCAGCTTAGCTCCAATCTCTGCCTCTATCATTACATGGTATTCTCCTTATGTTCTCTTCTTATAAGAGAACCTACCCATGTCATCTTGCTTCCAACTGCATTGGACTCCCTTAGCATTACTCCTCAAAGCTGGTCATTTTTTTTCATACGCTTCCTCTAATAGATATTTTGACTAATTCTAGCAGTGCTGAGATTTTTTTTTTTTTAATACAGATATCCACTTTTCTTCCCATACCATCCATGTTTCTGGTGAAGCTTAAGAAGTGGCCCTAATTTGTCAAAACGTAATTATCAGCTCTCTTGTCACAGATGGGTGAAGCTAAAGCCTATCAATGCATAACAATTTCCTAGCCGTAGAATTTGGTTCTGGTATATGTACTGCCGAAGTGAGCACAAGAATTTGGTTCTGGAAAGGTCATGTAACCCAGTGGAAGGCAAGTGGATTCCGGGGGACTTCTGGGAAATGTCCTAAATTTTAAGATGGTCCCTTTTAGAGGTAAAGGATCTATACCCTAAAAACTACAGAACACTTCTGAAAGAAATTGAGGAAGACACAAAGAGATGGGAAACTATTCCATGCTCATGGATTGGAAGAATTAATATTGTGAAAATGTCAATGTTACCCAGGGCAACTTATATGTTTAATGCAATCCCTATCAAAATACCATGGACTTTCTTCAGAGAGTTAGGACAAATCATCTTAAGATTTGTGTGGAATCAGAAAAGACCCTGAATAGCCAGGGGAATTTTAAAAAAGAAAACCATAGCTGGGGGCATCACAATGCCAGATTTCACGTTGTACTACAAAGCGGTGGTCATCAAGACAGTGTAGTACTGGCACAAAAACAGACACAGATCAATGGAACAGAATAGAGAATCCAGAAGTGGACCCTCAACTTTATGGTCAACTAATATTTGACAAAGGAGGAAAGACTATCCACTGGAAAAAAGACAAGTCCCTTCAATAAGTGGTGCTGGGAAAATTGGACATCCACATGCAGAAGAATGAAACTAGACCACTCTCTTGCACCATACACAAAGATAAACTCAAAATGGATGAAAGATCTTAATGTGAGACAAGATTCCATCAAAATCCTAGAGGAGAACACAGGCAACACCCTTTTTGAACTTGGCCACAGTAACTTCTTGCAAGATATGTCCACGAAGGCAAAAGCAACAAAAGCAAAAATGAACTACTGGGACTTCATCAAGATAAGAAGCTTTTGCACAGCAAAGGATACAGTCAACAAAACTCAAAGACAACCTACAGAATGGGAGAAGATATTTGCAAATGACGTATCAGATAAAGGGCTAGCTTCCAAGATCTATAAAGAACTTATTAAACTCAACACCAAAGAAACAAACAATCCAATCATGAAATGGGCAAAAGACATGAACAGAAATTTCACAGAGGAAGACACAGACATGGCCAACAGGGACATGAGAAAATGCTCCGCATCACTTGCCATCAGGGAAATACAAATCAAAACCACAATGAGATACCACCTCACACCAGTGAGAATGGGGAAAATTAACAAGGCAGGAAACCACAAATGTTGGAGAGGATGCGGAGAAAAGGGAACCCTCTTACACTGTTGGTGGGAATGTGAACTAGTGCAGCCACTCTGGAAATCTGTGTGGAGGTTCCTCAGAGTTAAAAATAGAACTGCTCTAAGACCCAGCCATTGCACTGCTGGGGATTTACCCCAAAGATTCAGATGCAATGAAACGCCAGGACACCTGCACCCTGACGTTTCTAGCAGCAATGTCCACAATAGCCAAACTGCGGAAGGAGCCTCGGTGTCCATCGAAAGATGAATGGATAAAGAAGGTGTGGTTTATGTATACAAGGGAATATTACTCAGCCATTAGAAACGACAAATACCCACCATTTGCTTCAACGTGGATGGAACTGGAGGGTATTATGCTGAGTGAAGTAAGTCAATCGGAGAAGGACAAACATTATATAGTCTCATTCATTTGGGGAATATAAAAAAAATAGTGAAAGGAAATAAAGGGGAAAGGAGAAAAAATGAGTGGGAAATATCAGAAAGGGAGACAGAACATGAGAGACTCCTAACTCTGGGAAATGAACTAGGGGTGGTGGAAGGGGAGGTGGGTGGGGGGTGGGGGTGACTGGGTGACGGGCACTGAGGAGGGCACCTGATGGGATGAGCACTGGTGTTATACTGTATGTTGGCAAATTGAACAGCAATAAAAAATAAGTTTATAATAAAAAAAAAAGACGGTCCATTTTATCCTCTTGACCTTGTGTGTTTATATGAGGCCTGAAAGTATTTTAGCCACCTTGTGCCTGGTTTGGGAATGAAGCTGACACCTGGGAATGAAGCTGCACAGTTGGAGCAGTATAAAGAACTAGATTTGATGCTGTGACTGACCCACAATTTATCATCACTCTATGGTCTTTTACAATTACCTTTAGATTGGATTTCTTGTTTTAAGAACTGAATTGGGTTTTCTGTTACCTTGGTTTGAAAGCATTTTATCTGGCACATCCTGATGCATCTCTTTGAGCAAATACAGACCAATGGAAGACAGTGATTCCAACAGGGTCCCAAGGGAGTCTTTCTTCTGTGTTAGGGGGGCTCAGGCTCCATAGCCTCATGTTTGTAGAAGTCAATCATCAACTTAGCATCCCCGGAAATCTGGCAATAGCTACCATCCTCTGAGGTACTTAAGTGTCAGACTGTGGGTCCTTCCCATGTAACTTGCAGAGTGAGTTACAGTTTCTTCCACAGTTATCAAGTGGCCGTCACAGATTGGGTGAGGAGAGGGATCAGGATCAAAGGATTGCTTGGACTCCTGAGCCTACAATCAGTTTACCAAGTACTGCTAAAGACAAGACAAGGCGTTTTCCAAACTGATGACATTACAGAATCATGATCCACAGTAACTGGACCCTCCATGTGCACTCCTTCCCCCTCTACAGCAGCAATTTCAAATCTTTCTCACTCGTTGCAGTTATTCTCAGCTATTTCTAGAAAAAAAAAAATCAGGCAGGAGCCACAGCCAACCTCTGCGGAAACAAAGACATACCAGCACTTACAATAACTCTTTCAAGGGTTTCAAAGGAAGAGGTGTTTTGCCGGCCCTCCAGGCTTAAAGTCTAAGAGCTAGGTGTAGCTGGGCTTTACCCCTGAAGCATAAAGAAAAGAAGGTGAGAGAACTAGAAGAAAGAAAACAGGGTAATGCTACCCAACAGTCAGAACTGGAGAGGCAGTAATACTAGGAGGCCTGTGGCTAAACCCCGGCGATGACTATCAGGAAAATACCAGGGGACGCCCCGCCTGCCGCCTGCAAGTGCGCACTGAGCAGTCTGTGTGGTCAGCAAGCGAGGCCTTAGGCCTAAACAGTCTTGGGTCCCTGAGCGGCGCATCCCAGAGCCTCTCTGCCTACCTACCCCCAGCCCCGGCGCACAAGTACAGTCCTCGGACGCGTGGGAGGCCGAAGGCCGAGGCTCTGGAAGCCCTTCGGGTTACCCTGGGCCGCACTTACATAGTTTCTCTGCCCACTCCATGGGCACGACAGAATTTTCCAGGGCTCACCCTTTGCGATGGTGGGAGTACGTTCAGAAAGAGGCACAGCAGGGAACTGCAGCGGGGGGGAGGGGAACTCAAACTTCCAGGGAGAGAGTTTAGGGAAGGGGGGCGGATACGAGGCCGGCCTGCTTCCCCGCGGAGGCCCCCGGGGCGGGGCGGCACAGGGGGCAGCGCCGCCGAAGGACCCCCCCCCCCCCGCCCTCTTTCCCGCCTCCGGGAGGGCCCGCTCCGCCTGCCTGAGTCACGGCTGGAGCTGGGGAGGAGCCGGGAAGGGAGGCCCCGGCCCAGAGCGCAGCCGGCGGCCGCGGGGACAGCAAGCAGGGCAGGGCGGTCGGGGCTCATGGGGGAGAGCGCTCTGCAGCCGGGGCCTGGGCCTGGGCCCGCCGCGCCGGCGGGGGGCCCGGTGCACGCCGTGACGGTGGTGACGCTGCTGGAGAAGCTGGCCACCATGCTGGAGGCCCTGCGCGAGCGGCAGGGGGGCCTGGCCCGGAGGCAGGGCGGCCTGGCGGGCTCGGTGCGCCGCATCCAGAGCGGCCTGGGCGCGCTGAGCCGCAGCCACGACACGACGAGCGACGCGCTGGCGCAGCTGCTGGCCAAGGCGGAGCGCGTGGGCTCGCACGCGGATGCCGCCCAGGAGCGCGCCGTGCGCCGCGCCGCCCAGGTGCAGCGGCTGGAGGCCAACCACGGGCTGCTGGTGGCGCGCGGGAAGCTCCACGTTCTGCTCTTCAAGGTCAGTGACTTCCCGCCCCCCCCCCCCCCCCGGGTCCCCTCCGCCCCCCCCCCCGCCTCCCTCGGCCCGCGCCCGCCTGCCACACCCGCATTCCTGGCCCCTCCCGGAGGCGCGGACTGCGCAGCCGCCCCCGCTTCTCGCCGCGCCGGCCGGCCGGGCCCTCCGCCCTCGCCCCTCGCCCCGCTCGAGCTCGGGCCACGTCCGCCGAGTCTGCTCCAAGTCCCAGCCCGTCCCCGAATGGAAGTGACGGCGGCAGAAGCGCCCCGCGCGGCTGTACCCTGCCTCCGGTCCTTGCCCCTGCGACCTCCGCCCTGCCTGAGCAGGCCCCACCTGCTCTGCCAACTTGTGCAGCTCGCCCGGTAGCTCTCCCCCCTCTCCCCCTCTCCCCCCTCCCCCCTCTCCCCCTCTCCCCCTCTCCCCCCTCTCCCCCTCTCCCCCCTCCCCCCTCTCCCCCTCTCCCCCTTCTCCCCCTCTTCCCCCTCCCCTCTCCCCCCCCGACTTTCCCACGGTCTGCCCTTTCTATTAGGCCCTGGGCCCGCCGAGGCCAGGGGTGGGGCGGCCCCCCCCCCCCGCCCCGGTGTCATGAAGGGGTGGGGGCCAGGCCGCCCGCCGCGGGGCAGGGCTGCCGGGGTCAGAGCTGTGTCCATCACTTGCAGGACGAGGCTGAAATCCCAGCCAGCGCCTTCCACAAGGGGCCCGAGCCCTTGGGCGCGGCAGACCAGTCGGAGCCCGCCCCAGAGCAGCCGGAGGCCGCAGCCGGGGAGAGCTCGGACGAGGAGCCGGTGGAGTCCCGGGCCCGGCGGCTGCGGCGCACCGGGTTGCAGAAGGTACAGAGCCTGCGAAGGGCCTTGTCCGGCCGCAGAGGCCCGGCAGCGCCGACACCCACGCCGGTCAAGCCGCCCCGCCTTGGGCCCGGCCGGAGCGCTGACGGCCAGCCCGCGGAGGCCGGGCCTGCGCTGGAGCCCAAGCCGGAGTCAGAACCCCCACAGGACACCAAGGAAGATCCTGGGAGACCTGGGGCTGCCGAAGAAGCCGCAGTGCTTCAAATAGAGAGTGCAGCCTGATGGCTGGTGCTGGCCGCCTCTCCTGTGCCTATCTATGCCTAACCCCAAAAGAAATCTCCCTCTCAGAATGCAGCATTCACGCCCAAATAAGGAGTGAATCCTGCATCCACAGCCCACCTCTGGCCTGCCTCTCCCAGTTCCTTCAGGCTGGCCTGTGTCCTCTGAAAGAGGAGCACCACTCACACCTGCTTGCAGTCACCGTCAATAAAAGTAATGTCACCTAATCCAGACTCCATGCCTAATCCTAAAATAAATCTCCCTCTCAGAATGCAGCATTCACGCCCAAATAAGGAGTGAATCCTGCATCCACAGCCCAGCTCTGGCCTGCCTTTCCCAGTTCCTTCAGGCCAGCCTGTGTCCTCTGAAAGAGGAGCTGCCACTCACACCTGTTTGCAGTCACCGTCAATAAAAGTCACCTAATCCAGACTCCCATGTGAAGGGGGCGGGAGGAAAAGGCTCCCCGGGCATAAGATAAATGTTGGAACCTGCAGTGTGGCTCAATTTCGAAAAGATTATTGTGTCATTTCTCAGGTTCCCAATGAATCTTGGTCTCTGGTTAGTGGTACATAGAAATCACCTGTTGGCCTCTTGCTTCTTGAGTACTTTATTAGTGGAGAAGCATCCAGTATAGTCTCTTGCCGTAGGTGCTCAATAAATGTCAACAAGTGATTTTCCTCTTAGTTTCTCTTTCCTCTTGCACCTCATAAAAGTTGGATTTTCTTTTGTTCTCAGCCCTCTTCTCATTCTGGATATTCTGTGAACATTTATTCCAGGTATTTCCCACCAATCACACACACCCTAAAATCACTGTCCTGAGCTGCAGTTGAAATGTACTTCAACTCAGTCTGTCCGAAGCAAGCAATCTACCTTTTAATTAAGTCCAATTTCAATTTTACAGATATTTATTGAGCACTTACGGTATATCAGTAAAAATTGCTCCTCCTCTTGTTTTGTTTGTTTTTATTTTTTTATTTTTTTAATGCAAACTAGATAACTATATGTTTTGTTTTGTTTACCAAGGAATGGCACCATCATCAGCACAGAAACCTGGAAGTCCTCCTTGGCTGCTCCCTGTCTTTCTCTCTCCCCCACTCCCACTCAGAAACAGTTATCCTATTGCTTTGTCCTCTGCAGTCTGACTACTTTTTAAAGACCCATGACCGCTGCTCTACTTTAGGCCTTATCTTTCACTTCCCTGTTATTTGAACTGCCGATCTGATTCCATCATCCTCCTGATTCAGGCCTATCCATCACCTTTGGAATAAAGTCTGAGTTCTTGATTATTCTTTCAACATCTTTATAACCTCTCTTGATCTGGTTCCTGCCTATTTTTGTAGCCTCGCTGCTTGCACCACTTCCCGTCATTCTGTTGAATTACACTGACCTATGTGCTGTCCTTCTAATCTCTACTCTCCTGCAAAACTCAGCAAGGGACCCCTGTTTCAGGGCTAGCTGCTTCTCTTCCTTGCTCCCAAAGCACCACCTGTACACCGTACTAACTGCTGATTGTGATTGTAGTTACTCCCCCCACCCAGTTCCATTAGATGGTGGCTCTTCTGCTGTAGGGATTGTTCTTTTAATTTCTGTATTTCCCATACCACATACCGTGCCTGGCCCACAGTAGGCCCTCATGAAGCAAGAGCATCACAGAAGAAGTGAGAAGTGTGAGGGAATTCATTAGGGCTGGGAGCATGGTCGTCAGCCCATTCATTCAGTTGTCATACAAAAACATTTTTGAGTATCTAATGTATTCCAGGCTCTAGCTGAACTCTTGTGAACACCAAAATGACAATCCTGAAGCCTTCAAGGACTTCAGAGTTTAGGGAGATTCAAACATGAATGATGTAGGTGTAGTAATTGTTATACATATGTTATTTTCAGAGGAAAGACAGAAGGGACACAACCTAACCTGAAGGAGAAGTGGGGGATATTTGAGGCAGTATTCTTGGGAAAAGTAAATAGTGAGATGGAAAACAGGAATGGTGAGTGGCAGGAGAGTTCAGTAGTTCTAGTTTGATTTCTCTGTTCATCTATTACATGGGATAATGATAGCCCCTATTAATTGGGCAGTTGTGATGATTAAGTTACATAAATGTCTAGCACAGTGCCTGGAGCAGAGTTTGTTTCAAGGGTATAATTCATTTCATCCAATTATTCAACAAATATTTACTGAATTTAGGGACGCCTGGGTGGTTCAGCGGTTGAGCGTCTGCCTTCGGCTCAGGGCATGATCCTGGAGTCCCAGGATCGAGTCCTGCATTGGGTTTCCTGCGAGGAGCCTGCTTCTCCTTCTGCCTGTGGCTCCGCCTCTGTGTCTCTCATGAACTAAAAAAAAAAAAAAAAAAAAAAAAATTTACTGAACTTGGTGTTTTTGCCAGGCACTGTTTTAAGAGCTGCGGAGGTGATCCCTGGGTGGCTCAGCGCTCTGGCGCCTGCCTTCGGCCTGGGGCGTGGTCCTGGGATTGAGTCCCACATCGGGCTTCCTGCATGGAGCCTGCTTATGTCTTTGGCTCTCTCTTTCTCTCTGTCTCTCATGAATAAATAAAATCTAAAAAAAAAAAAAAAAAAAAGAGCTGGGGATACAGTGGCACATAAGGAATACAAGATCCCTGCCTTTGTGGATTATGTAGGGGAAGACCAGGAATAAATAAGTATACTTATGAGACAGATAAAAACAAGCAAACATATGAACTAGAAGGGCTTTCTGGTAATGGGCTCTGAAGGAAAGAAAGGAGTAAGGATACAGATGGTGGTGGGGCAGGGGAGTACTTTAGATGAGGGGATTTAAAATGGGAGTAGATAGGTCATGATCTTGGGGTCCTGGGATCCACCCAGTGTAGGGCTCTGCACTCAGCCAGGAGTCCATTTCTCCCTCTCCCTCTGGCCTTCCCCCCGCCCCTGCTTATGTGCTCTCTCTCTCTCTCAAATAGATGAATAAAAATGTTAAAAAAAAAATGGGAGAATTCCATAGTTGACTTAATTTTTTTAAATTAAAAAAAATTTTTTTTAATGGATTCAACTAGAAGAATCTAAGCCCCCACTGCCCATGATTGGCAGGAATTCTATTATCAATCACTTTAGGGCAGCCCTGGTGGCTCAGCGGTTTAGCACCACCTTCGGTCCAGGGCGTGATCCTGGAGACCGAGGATCGAGTGCATGGAGCCTGCTCCTCCCTCTGCCTGTGTCTCTGCTTCTCTCTCTCTCTGTATGTCTCTCATGAATAAATAAAATCTTTTAAAAAAATCACTTTAGGGCTCCTCTCCTTCCTTAGATTGTACAGTTATACCAGGAAGTTCATACCATCTCCTTGTCTCTCAGACCTTCAATGTCTCTGCTGCTATTGCTTCTTATGTCCACAAGATGCCACTGTTGGGGTATTGGTGTCCTGGCTGACGCCTCAAGCCAGAGGTCTCCTTGTTCAGCTCTGTGCCCAGGGGTCCTTCCCTGGAGGCTGGCTCTGTGGTAGCTCTGTTTCTCCTGGAGAAATTCAGGGCTTATCCCTGTAGGCTTCTAAGCCTTAGTATGTAGCCTGTATCAGTTACCTGGCAGCGACTCCTTTCAAGGTTTTGCCGTCAAAGAGGGGCTGGTCTGAGCAGGCTCAGTTCTCTATCCCGAAGGTAAAACAAGTTCTTGTTCTTTTTCCAAATCCTTGGAAGTATACACAGTTCCAATTTCCTTTCAACTCATAGACAAAATTAAGAACCCAACTGCACATTTCTTACATAAAGTGTCTTGATAACTCACTGGGTAGCACGTGAAGGCTCAGAGCCTAGACTCTGACCTCTAGGAACCTAAAGTCTTGGTTAACTTGGGGGTGAGTGTTACTTTTTATTCCTTCTTGATGCTTCTACAGGAGAAATAATAAACATCAAGTTAAAACTAGCTTAATTGCTTAATAGTTCTCTTTGTTACATACGTGTTCAATCATACCACTATTGCTATTATTATTAATGTTATAAACTAAAAGTAGTGGAGACTGGCTCCCAGCAGGAAGCCCGATGCGGGACTCAATCCCAGGACCTGGGATCACGTACTAATCTGAAGGCAGAGGTTCATCCACTGAGCCACTCAGGGTTCCTGGAAACTCACTTTAGAAGGTGGTTGTGGTGGTCCAAGCAAATGGCTAGAAGGTGCAAGAACTACAAACGAGGGTACAGAGTGGACAGATTCAAGGCCCCCAAGGCTTATAGAATCATACTCAATGATGGATTGAAAGCTTAAAAAAGAAAAAAAAAAGGATTGAAAGCTTTCCCTTAAGATCAAGAAGAAGACAAAGATGACTGCTTTCACCACTTCTGTTTCACAATGAACTGGAAGTTTTAGCTACCTCCATACTAAATACTAATTTTGGAACTGTTGCTTATTATGAATGGAGGCCTAGATAATATGGAGACTCTTGGTTACCAAGCATCTGCACTGTTGACCACCCATGGTCTTAGGACTCTAAAATGTACTGTGTGAGGAGGTTTTGGTTTTTTGTTCTTTTGAGAATGTTGACTGAGTCCGTCTTGTGGTGTCATTGGGACATATCTGCTGGGGGGTCTACCTCAGGCTGTGTCTCTCCTCATTTTCTCTTATTTCTCTGTTTATCTGTCTCCATCCTCTCTCTGTCTCACTTTTCCTCTGTTTCTCTCTCACACACAGACACACACACACAGTCACACTCTCACACACTGCACGGAGTCAACAAGTCACCTCCTCCAAGCCTGTTGCACTCATACTCACTCCTTGCACAGAGAGTACATTGACTTCCTAGGAGTGTAGTAACATGGACCTATTTTCTCACCTGGGAAAAAAGCTGCCTATCTCACACACTCCCAAGCCTAAGGAACATGGAATCTAGGTGACTCTCCAGACTGAGGACAGCAAGGTTGCCCCATATGCCTTACTATATATAGTTTTTCCTAAGCAAGACACTGATTCCAGAATACATACCAGTTTTAGTACTTTCTGAGATGGCCTGCAGTTACATAAAAGAGGATAATATGGAGGTCAGTTCATGTGTGTACTTTGTCATTGGTTCCTCTGGTACCAATGAGCAACAATAGTAGTGTCAAAGGCCCCCAAAGAAAGCACATATTGCACCCATGGAGAAAGCATGAGCTTTTCCTGGGGGGATAGATATCTCTAGTTGATTGAAGCAGCAATTCCAAATTCAGAATTCAAGGCAGAAAAGTGCTTCTGAGTAATGTCGCCTACTGCACAGTTAACATCCTCCCCTTCC